ACCATAGCTAACTTGTTGTTAGTGATGTATCACGCAACACATGCCTGAAGTCAACTTACCACCATCTTTGTCGTTTGCGGGATAGTCCATCCCCATCTTGGCTGAATGATACTTTTCATCAAGGACCACTAATTGTCAAGGAAACAAAGTTATCAGACAGGTACTTGTTCTCAAGGATAGATTGACTCACTATCTAAGCCGCAATCCAGGCAGTATGCATGGATTAATCCCCCGACAGTTTTCATCTCAATGAACATCTTCATTATGGTCATCAACCCACACTAACACTCGAATTTTTGATGTCAGGCAAGATTATATGCATTGATGCCTTCAGGGAGGATCAAATGGCCTTTTGACATTGGACTATGTCGAATTAGGTTAGTCCAATATGAAATGTGTTATTAATACAACTTACTATGGAAACTCTGTCACTGAATCTAGCTCTCAGTCAAAAAGAACAAGATTCAGTGACACATCTTGCATGGCAACATAGGGTGCAAAGAATTGCCTTCTTGCAACTGGATCCATCATTCAGATTTGCCCACATATAGCGGTCACATTAAGTGGGATTTGAGGAGAAGCACAAGAGCGATCTGCAATGAGGGAATCACATGAGAATTCTGGATACATGGTGAATGAAAATGGTAAGTTCTATGAAGAGGTTTTCCAGAAATTGGTCGCTGAGCACTACATTTTATATGCAGCACAATATTTCAAATTATTCACTATTATTCACTTTTTCAGGATGTGTAATCACCAATGTATAGACAGTGGCTTCCAAAACTGTCCCAATGTTTTTGTAATTCTCAATAAATGCTTTATAACCTACCAAATAAATTTTATAAAATAGTGAAAATATTCCCACATATACCTTAGCATACTAGCTTTGATATACCCACATATTACATAATATAGATGGAAATTGGTGTCATAGTGAATATTTAAAAATGACCAATCATTGGGACAGTTTTGGAACCCTCTCTTTTCACACATTTCATTATATCATATTATATTCTAGAGGGCTAGGAAAATTACAAGAAACATTAGGTGACATATATTTGATGTTCTAATTGATATGTGACATTTAATGTCACATTTTAACTATCATTCTTATCATGAAAGCTATTTCCCCTCTCAAAAGAGAATAAGCCATCTCCCTCCTACAAAATGGATTCTCCAATAGGAATGTAGCCTCTATAACAGGTCTTAGCAAGTCTACTAATAAGTATAATTGGTCAGGAGATGGACATAGACAAATAAAACCTGAAAGGAGGATGTCCTTCCAAGCTTTCCCCTATTGATTAAAGGAGGATCATGCATCAAATGCGGGTTGATCAGCATGATCCACATAGTGATCAGTTTGCTCAGTGGCTCTTAGATGTAGGCCATGGAAAGCATTTGCCTTTGGATCATACAATGGATATCTCTCCTCATATGATCTGTGGTCCAGAAATGTCTGATCTAATTGCTGAGATATATCCAGACATCCATGTGGATGGAGACCAAAGAAATTGGCAAGATGGAGACTTCTTAGACCGTGCTATTCTGTGTCCTAGGAATTCAGATGTGGAAGAAATTAATTCAGAACTTCTGAATAGATTCCCCAGAGAGAGTCAGGTCTACCACAGTGCTGACACTGCAGAGGGTGACATGGAGGCAGAAGTCTATCCTGTGGAATATTTAAATAGTCTCAACTTTGGTGGAATTTCACCAAGTCGACTTGAGATGAGGCCAGGAGTACCTTTAATGCTACTATGGAACATAGATCCACAGATGGGACTTTTCAATGGTACAAAATTGTGACTACTGAAAATGGAAAATCATTTGCTTTTGGTGTGGATCTTAACTGGACCATGTGCTGGGGAAGAGGCATTTATTTCAAGGATTAAAATCATTACAAATGATGATGAACTCCCTTTTAAACTTCATCGGGTTCAGTTTCCAGTACGACTGGCATTTGCAATGACAATTAACAAGTCACAGGGACAATCTTTGAAATTAGTAGGATTAGATTTGAGAACAGCTGTGTTTGGACATGGGCAACTGTATGTGGGACTTTCAAGGGGAAGAAGTTGGAATAGGGTTAAAATATTATTAGAGAAGGAGTCAAAGAGAACTGCAAATATAGTGTACAAAGATGTATTATTAGATTGAGAATTTGATATATTTGATTATTTTTTTCCTGACAATGATTGGAATAGATAGTTAAGAGTTGTGGATGTGGGAGGGGGTTGCATAGCAAAGTGGTGGGGTAGGTCATTCTGATTGTGATAAATACTTAAAAGTTGTTGATGTGGGGGGGTTTGGGGGGCAAAGCCCCCCAACAAGCTGGAGGGAGCCCACAGCGAAGTTGTGGGGCCAGTCACAAAGCAACCGCCCTGCAGCATAGCAAGGGTTCCTAAGCTTGTTACTTGCTCCAATGTGCGCACTTCTGGAGTCATGTGATCTATTAGATAACCCTCTGACCTCAGCATTCAGTCACGAATGTGACTGTAATGACTTACTCAAGTCATTATTTGATTCCGCCAACTCAGCATTTGCTTCCATCCCGGGACCATGGCCTTAAACCTTCATGTTCAAGCCAAAGGTTGGAACCCTTGTCTCAGAGAGGGGAATCACATGATAAATAAAGGGTAAAAAAAATAAGTAGAATATGGGGTCATTATGACCTAAATAATGACGTCATAAAATAAATAAATAGTTAAATATTTAGTTATCAAAATGTATATAAGGAGGGTGATACGCAGTTACTCCAAATATCGCGAAGTCAAACAATCATGTCAATGAACTATTTATACTGACCACTGTTTTGCAAGGCTGTGAGGTGCTGCGACTATGTTGGGGGCTCTGATCAAGGTACCTCTTTCTCCAAGATGTAGAAGTTGAAAAAGGGAAGAATATTCGAGCGACACATGTATTTGTGTTGGGAACGTAAAGTCGCATTCTCGGACGATCAAGATGATCTGGAGAAGTATTAGTTCAAGCACAAGGAAAATTCAGTATCATACCTCAGTTAGAGAACGCAAGAGGAGTGAGATTCCCAAACATAAAAATAGATACCGCCATGAATGCATGATGGTGTAGACAAGTGCCAGTAAAATTCCTCTTCCGATTCATGATCGTCTACTTTGCATAACTGTTTTCATACCTCGAAATGAAACCATTGAGATGAACAAGGTCAAAAAAATCACCCTCCATAATACAGAACAGGTACCAACAGAAACCAATCAGATCAATTCCTTGCTGTAAAGGGTCGAGTAGTTTACCACTCAATGTACGATTGTTATCGACTAACGATAGTATGAAATACAATCGACTAGTAGTTAAGATGTAGATTACGATCGACCTTTAAGGTACGATCGGTAGATAATTACAAGGGTGGATCGACCTTACAGTACAATTTGATTGTGTAGCTAGCTGGGTTGATGACCGAGTAGATAAGAGAAGGTATATATGGCGCGGAAGAGATAGAGTATCCTAAGAAAGTGAGTTACAATGGATATTCTTACCGTGCTAGGCAAGAGCTTGAAGTCGAGTCGAATAGTAGTAACTGACTTTGACTGTTTCAGTGCGAAGTGTAGTTACTGTAATTCTATGAAGAGAAATAGAGTAGAGGTTTGTTTTAGACAAGACCCTGAACCAGTACTTGCGTGTGCAGGTGATGGTTGTCGGGGTTGAAAGGTGTCTGAGTTTTTATCATGTGACTACTACTGTGACATACGCATACTTCTTGTGGGCAAGAGCGCCCACAAGCATACATGCACTCTCGAACTAATAAAAACGTATTTATGAGTGATAAAGAGAGAAATAAAATATAAAATGAAAAGGAAATAATAGCATTATAAAGTGGCTTAAGGTCTAAGGCTTAAAGCCTTTAGTCGTGCCTCCTATGTGACCTATCCTTCACACTTGCCTCTTATGAGGGATTCAGTACTAAAGGGGAATTTGTAAGTATGTAGGATGGTATGGACTCAAAAACGTTGCTTAGATGGAGGATTGATTTCTTGACCACTAAACTCAGTATCCTAATTAAGAAAGAATATGTTTCAATTTAAACTCAGTATGGCAATAATTAAACCAAAGTAAAAGTTAGTTGGTTGATGGAATTAAAAACGTTTTGAATTAGAGCTTCGTAATGTACTGGCATCTTGTTCGAATTTTGAATAGTGGTCATGCATCATGTCACACCACTCCTAGACAAAGACTCAACACACTCCTTGCTTTTCAGGTGAATTCAGCTTGGAGAAAGATTATATACTCACTGAAAGGATGGCCGGCACTTCATCCCATATTGCCTCTCAGTCTGTGTGTTGATGGCGCTCACATATATGTATTCATGGAAAGACCTGGACCCCTCTAGTTCAGACAGCAGGCATAGAGGGACAATAGATGCACCAGCCACCCGGTGCCGGCACATGTTGAGAAGTGCTCAACAATGGCCATGATGAGATGGACATGGACATGGCAGCGAAGCAGATGAGGGTGTGATGTTCTTCCTTTCGATTCCAACTGAGGTATTCACCATCCACTTTCGGTTTGCGGCTGCTTCTGGTGGGCCTGGACATAAGTTGGCGGACTGACCTACAGCCGTCACTCGAACAAACCCAGTCTGCGAGAATGATCAGAACGGCATGCACAATTGGCACCATGATACATGCAGCTGGAATTTCTCTGAAAGATAGGACTAACATGTTAAAAGTGTAAAAAAATGAATGGCCAGACTGGGGATTGAACCCAGGGCTTCTGCATATATAGCAGGGGTGTTAACCATCACACCACCTGACCCACTGCTAGCATCACTCAATCTAACATAACATGCCATTCTGGTATGGCATTGGTATGGACCCAGTTTGAGCCCATCTGTCGACAACGGGTTAAGTTCATCATTTTCCAGCCTTCATCCAGATGCCAGAGATCCAGTCTAAGTAATATAATTCACCTTTGATTTGAGAGACTGGTGTGGGAATTTCTGTTTGCTCCTCCCTGTAGTAGGAAATGAATGGCCAGCCTGGGAATTGAACCCAGGGCTTCTACATATCTAGCAAGGGTGTTACCATTACACCACCTGGACCTGGGAAGCACTGCTAGCATTACTCAATCTAACAGGTGTTCACAGGATTCACCTCCGCAGGCACAGGACGGGTTGAGTATTCTGGGCTTTGTTACTTGCTGGGACACCGGCACTGATACGGCCCAATTGGACGAGAGTAATTTTCAAGCGATTGCGCATTAACGTCAACCTATTAGATTTGTCTGGCATAAACTTAGCGCCTACCGTAAACAGATTAATTAAGGAATAGGGGTGGGCTCAATTTTAGGGATAATGAGTAGAAGTTAAAATCGCTGCTTCTTGCGTTGAGGACATACTCACTGTTAGATTAAACAAAATAATTGATGGAAGTCAACATCTCAGAATGAATGCTTCTACAATTTAATGGCGTTGTATTTGAATTCTGATATGGAATATGCACAATAGGTGCCCATCATGATTTGAGCCATTGCCCAAGATTATACGATCACTGTATGGAACCCTTTTTCGGAGCCGGTCCCTTGTTGTGTCTCAGTTCCGTTGTTGATGGGACTGAACAGAGACGGATCGTACACGGTGCTTGCAGATAGACGGGAGATAGAGCGCAACCGAGAGTGACGGGGAGGGTGGCGCGGGAGGGATCGTTGGCCGGAATGATGACGCCAACACATTTCATGGTTAATTTGGCGGTGTAAGGTACACACTGTATTGTGGTGCCGGTGTAGCCGCGGGAATATCAGTAGAAGACTGCGCAAGACATTCGTAAACAGATGTTGTCTCACATTCCTGTTCATACGAACTATCCCAAACTAAGCCGCTGCCACGACAAGCTACCTTCGTCTTGTTGGCCCTTCATCTGTAGTTATCCAACTGACGCAAAAATACCATTACAATACATCTCGTTGGCACATTGACGAAATCTCCGATTAACGCAACAAATAGTTCCTTGAACAAATTCTCAGACAGATATTCTGGAAAAACCCTTGATCCACAACCCACACCATGACGTTAATTGTCCTCAACCTGTGTCTGTTCGTGTGAGATATTGTGCGCCCTCTAATCTCCCTGCTGCCCATGGAAACTCTACAAGATCGACCGCAGCGGATGAGTCCTTGTTTTCAGCGTCGCTCGCTGTTGGACGCAACACTCTTTCTGAGACAGTTCCGGAACCTGTAACTTGGCTGCCGACAAACTGCTCATCTTCGGGATCTCCAAGATCTTCAATTATTGCATTTGAGAATTTCCATGCGGCCGCCTTCAATGAAGAACAAGGTGCCTCGTCCTTTGTTTGAGATGTGCCATTTGGGTGGACATTCTGTTCACGAAGATCGAGGAAGAACCGTAAAACTAGGATAACTGAGACACTGGACACAACAGGTGAATGAGCGGGATATTACCAGGTAAAGTATACATACGGTCTCTCAATAGTTGTTGTCAAGCCCATAAGACCAGGCTGTGAAATTTAAGATGTAACCACAATGACGAATAATTGACAGTCTTACTTGAACGAGCTTTGATTATGAGATCGATCATTAATCAACAAACTTCAACGGTTAAGATACGGAACCCACACTGTCGGTTATTATACCTTGAAGTGTCCATGAAAATATTATCCTGTACATTGTTCAGCCTTAATGGAGTAGCTGGTGGACGAAATTTCGCACATAAAGCGAAGGACACCTAGTACATCCAACATCTGAAGATGAGAGAGTATTTCATCACAGAAGTGATATTCTCACCTTGCTTGAGGATTAGCGACGAAAGCGATTTCCCATTAATCATTTCAGTGAGTGACCGTATCGTTCTTGCGAGAGTCCATGTATGATACACAGTCACTCCGAATATCGCCGCATCAGACAATAACGTTACCCCATTGGCAAGATTTCTCACTGTTTGCGACGGGGTTAGATCCTGCAAGTGTTTGGGGGGTTCTGAGAAAAGTACTTCTTTTTTCAGATGTTAGAAGTTCGAAGACGCAATGGTAGTAAAGCGACACATACATTGATATTTGGTAGGAGGAGTTACAATTGTTGAGTATTGCGTTGGTCTGAGTGAACATTAGCTCCAGCATTTGGAAAAATTCAGGCTCATACCGCGCTCAAACCACAACGAGAGAGGAATAAAATCACCAAGCATGAGAACAGATGCTGCCGTGAATGCATGATGGCATAGACACGAGCCAGTGAAATTCCTATTCCGATTCATGACCATGTTCTCTTTTATAATTGGCTTCGTACCTCCAAATGCAGAGTTCAAGATGAAAAATATGAACCACATAACCTTCCAAAATGCCGAACAGCGACTAACAGAAACCAATCAGGTTAATTACTGGTCTCAGCATTCAAGAGGGATTTGGCACTGAAGGGAAATCTGTAAATATGTTAAAGAATATGTACTTCAGTAAGAAATACACACCCTTTCCCACAATCCAGTTAGGGCCCAGATGAGGTAGAGAGTTTGATACAGAAGCATAGATATCCGAGCAGCCAAATATAGATAGGTCACGCCCCGCAATTTTCCTGGGTAAATATACCGGACTTCCTGAGGAAATGTCAGGATTGTGTCATAAAATGCAATTACTGAACATAATATCAATATATATGTCCGAAATTGAAAAAACAAGTGAGTACCAGAACCAGCGATGATGCAGTAGTAATTAAACCGGCTAAGAACTTTCATGAGTTTCAATGAAGGCATCTCTTCAGCCTCGCTTACTTGTCACTTTCTGCCTGAACCAAGGAAGGAAATTGAGCAGCGTTGTATAACATTTGGAATGAGGGGAAGAGCAGAAAGAATCGACAGTTTGAATCACGGTAGAAAATACATTATAAGGATGCATCATCGCGGTGGAGATGGCACGTATCCAGGGCCAGTGCCGAAGTTACCAATTGCCGTTATCATCTCGGTACTCATATTCAACGCCATTATTTCAATCCCAGATGGGGCTGTGTGGGACAATTTTCCTGCAAAAGATTAAGTTTCATATCAAATTTCGCTTGGGGGACAAAACGTTCATACCCAAGCACCTTTATTTAGATAGAGGCTTGATTTTTCGGCGTAAACTCAGCATACAAACTAGGTAATAATAGGTTCAATTCAACTCAGTATGGACAAAATTGAACCAGAAATGTCAAATTTCAATCGGTGCTTCCTGTGTTGATCCTGGACAAATTACTGAATGTTAGGCCAGAAAGTTGATTGTTCGAATTTCGAATAGTGTTCATGCATCATGTGTTGCCACTTCAAACACAATACCTACTATCACTCCGGCTACTCCTTCTGTTCTCAAAACCTCTGTTAATTCCAGCCGAAACTGAGTGTATACCACCCTCAGTGGATCATTAATCCTGGGATGTCCATAATACTCCCAAGATGTACCTAACGTTTCCATTCTTGGACTACTTCGTACACTTCTGCGTTCTTCTAACGGTGCCTTGGGATGGTTTGAATCCCAAACTTGACACAGGATCGCCCACTTGGCTTACAACCTGCCATCGCGTGATAGCAGACACTAGCACAATGGATACATCGGCGTCCGGTGAGTGTTGGGAAGCGCATAGAAATGGTTATGGAGATCGAGATGCCAACGAACATTATTGATGGCGGCGGAGGAGACGAGGTGATTTTCTTCCTCTTGGTTCCATTTGTGGTATCCACAATCCCGTTGTAGTTCTGATCTGCTTTAGATGAACTTGTATTACAGATAGTATGAGTTGGGGTATTGTAAATGCAAACGTTTCAGGGTTGAAGGAGCTTGTAACATACCAAGGACCGCTCCGCCAACTCCACCGTTTTCCGCATCATCCTCCGAGTAATCCTCCGCACTTACCGGATCCTTATTCTTCTCCGACTCGACGGAGATAAGATTCCCTTTGTTCCCACATGCCATTGTTCTCATCGTGTTATTGTTCACTGGAGATAAATATTAGTTACACTTAGGGATATTTTCCTACTTAGTAGGTACTCTCCCTGCATTTCGAGCATCTACAGTCAATTAGGTCATAATGCATAAGGTCATAATGCATAAATCTAATAATGCATTGGGTTGTATTGGGAACAATGTTGGTATGGAGAGAAAATGATGTAAGAATTATATAAGCAGGGTGAAAATATTGACCTGAGCTGGATTTGAACCAGCGACCACTAAGTTTGGATTACATGTCTAGTGCTCTTAACCCTGAGCTATCAGGCCATTAAGAGTAGTTCTGTTAGGAACCAGTCACTACTGAGATGGTTAGTCATCAGTAAGATATTATTTTTATCCAAGTCAACCATTGCTCATTCAACAAATGAATGCATAATGCATAGGCCAAGGAGGGCAATATGCATTACTACGGGGAGAGAAATTAAGGTTTCAGAACTGGAATTACCGTGATAGGACAGATTGAGTCACAGCTTTCACCGGCTGCTTAGGTTTGAATTAAATAGGCTGTATTATTCATACAAATGCCAGTATGTAATGGCATTGCACTAAGGCATGTCAGGGCATTGGAAATTTTCATACACCCTTTATCATTCTCCAACTGTGTCTTTAATTCCTAATGCCTAAAACCGAGCCCAAGACTACACGAAAGCCTCGAGAAAAGCCAGCACCTTATGTCAAAAACAAATAGAAGCAGGTTGGCAGTAAAGATATGCCAAAGACATCTGCAAAACCAGCAATCCACACACAGCGGGCAAATCTGACACTTGCTGATTGGCTGACTGTTCTCAAGTATGTTGATGAACATCCATTACTTTCACAAGGAGACATTGTCAACCATTTCAAGACCAAGATTGATGGTGCTTTACATTTTTCCCAATCAGCACTCTCTTGAGCCATCAGCAAATGTCCAACACTTGAAGAATGCAGTCAATCTAACCCAACTGTATTATCTTCAAAGTGTGCATGCATTGTCACTCGACCTGACATTGAGCATGCATTGGTTCTATGGGTCAATCATATACTGGAGAAGAATGAGACTGTTAGTGGACCCATGTTGCATGAAAAGCACAAGCGTTTCGAGATTTTATTTGATGTGCCTGATGATCAACAACTCACT